TCAACATCATGTATGCCATCACCAGTTTACAGTGCCCTACTGCAGCCAATATTGAACAGACTTATCTGAAGGAATGAATGGAAACTGATTTGTTATCAATTCCAGAAATAAGCAAAAGCCTGTGGCAGAACACTAACTTCCCTGGGTGTTCAATCACTGACCTCTGAGTCAACAGTTTTTAAACAAGGTGAAAAAAAATTTTTTTAAACCAATTTAAAAGCAAAATCGCAGAACAAGAAATTATCCACGAACTCAACTGCATTAACCGTGGGAGTATGGGTTCTCATCCCACTACCTGAACTAGCTGTTAACTCCACTGGCCCTCAAGGTGTTAACTGCCTCATTCATCTCAATTGATCTAATAAACCCACTCTTTATCTCTCTTGGCAACGGCTACTCTGCCCCATTCCCCTCTAAAAAAAACTTTCTTTTCTGCCAGTCCATTCACAGCATCTAAGTAGGCTGTTGTATTTGAAAGCTTTTGCCTCTCAAAACCAGTTAATATCTAAGGGTGTTTATAGACATGCTCCAGGAATGAGGGGAGGTGGGCACTTTAATTAGAGTGGCTCTGAGAGCCACTCTAATTAAAGCACCCAAAGCATCATATGCTTCAGCATCCCAGTGCTGAAAAATGGCGGCAGGGGTGCTTTAACTAAAACTCGATGAATGAGCTTTAGTTAAAGCACCCCTGCCGCCATTTTTCAGTGCAGGGATGCTGATACATGTGATGCTGGAATGTGTTGATGTCCGATAATTCGTGTATACGCACCATAAGGTGCCACCTTGCTCTACCTTCTGCCTGACCTACCTCTCCAACAGATTTGAGTCAGTAAAATCACTGTAGGACAGTAGGTTATCTTTCTGTCCTTCTTTAAACACTGTTGTAATGTCATGCATCAAGTCTCGCAGAAAGAGTGCAGTGTCCTAAGAATCACACACTTCGTGCCGTCCAAAAATAGAAAAAGTCCACGTAACATCAAATTATTGGGTCAGTTGTCACTGATAACAAGATCAGACCACTTAATATAGGTTTTCCTAAAACTGTGTATAACATGTGTGGGTTATTTTGTATCATATGAGCTGCCCAGCAAAACCACATAGCACCACCAAATTTGAAGCCTGGGTCCAAATTTGAAGACTAGGTATATTTCACCTTGGCTTACACAAGAAGCAGTTTTCAAAACCAGGAATAGTAAAATGCATCCTCCTGAATTCTCCACTACAGTATTCTCTTGCCTAAAGAAAAACTTGCATGGGTTAATTTTCAAAATGGAAAAGAAATTTAAATGATTTGCCAAAGGTTACTCAGAAGTTTCAAACAACACTGAGACCACAAACCTTTAGAGGTGACCTAAATCTATCTTACCCACTAAACACAGCACTTCTCACACAAAAGGGTTCAATTTTCCAAATTTAGATCATACAGGATTAACAATTCCCACCCATCTTTGTAAAGTGTCGAAGATACACAAATGAAAAAAAACACTACCTCATTCTAAAGCATTCCAATTAGCATTTTTCAAATGGTGTAACTAAGCATTTGTCTATGCAGCAAACTGAAGCGTGAGGGTAGCTTGACTAGGCCTCCCTTGGCTAGCTCAAGTCTCATTAGCATCGGTAAAAAAACAGTAACCAAGATGTTGTGGCATGTCTTCAGCAGAATCTAGCAACACCAAGAGATGCTTGTCAGAGACTCCCAAGTGTTAACTCAGGTTTCTGCATCTGTAGTATTACTATTACTAGAGTTTTGGTATGCCTGTCTGGGTTACAATCACACTTCTGTATTGCTGTGCAGACCTTTGCTAAGGGGCATGAAAGGAAACTGGCTGGCCCAGAAGGCTTGAGCAGTAGGGAA